GTTATTCGTCCCTCTGAGGTTCTGGCTTTAGGATTCCTTGTAGTATTTTTTGGAGTGGGGGTTTAGTCTTAATGAAATTCCGGAGTTTCTGTTTGTCTGGGAAGGTCCATATTCTTTCTTCATGGAGGAAAGAGAGCTTTGCGGGATAGAGTATTCTTGGTTGGCATCTGTTTTCTTGGAGTCTGTTGACTATGTCCCTCCACTCTCTCCTTGCCCGTAGTGTTTCTTCAGAGAAGTCTGATGTCAGCCTGATTGGTTTTCCTTTGAATGTTATCTGTTTCCCTCTTGTCAGCTTCATTATTTTTTCCTTGTCCTGGATTCTTGGGAGCTTTACTATTATGTGTCTTGCTGTGTTTTTCCTTTCGTCGTGGAAGTTTGGTGTTCTTCTTGCTTCTTGTATATCAATTTCAGCTCCTTCTTCGCATTTGGGAAGTTCTCTTCAATTATCTCCTGGAATATTTTCTCTGTTCCTACATCTCTCTCCTCTCCTTCTGGAATTCCTATAACTCTTATATTTCCTTTCCTCATGGAGTCAGATAGTTCTCGAAGTCTTTCTTCATTCTTTTTCCTTCGTACTTCTCTTTCCTTTTCTGTTTTGGTTCTTTTATTTCTGTGTCTTCAAGAGAACTTATTTGTTCTTCCATTTCATCTATTCTGCTTTCCTTGCTTTTCCCGGAGTTCTTTAGTTCCTCCATTAATTCTTTGATCTCCTGCATTTCTTTTACTTCCCTCTTTAGTGACTCAATTTCATTCTTCTGACCATTGTTTTCCCTCTTTAGGGACTCAATTTCCTTCTTCTGATCTATCACTTTTTTAATCATGGCAATTTTAAATTCTCTTTCTGGAAGGCTCAGAAGTTCTTCCAAGTTGCTGTCGTTGCAGTCTGGGGAGTGGTTTTCTTTTTGTGGTGTGCTTCTTTCCTGAGGAGTTGTTAGGTTGCGTGTGGTTCTTCTACTCCCTACTGTCTGTTTTCTAATTTGTCGTATGCGTTGGGACACTGTGTTGCTCGGACTGACTGACATCTTGGGTGAACTTCTCCGCTCCCCTCTGGCTCTTCCAGGAGCCATCTCTGTCTTCTGGGGGAGCTTTCTGCTGGTTTTAGGCAGTTTTTACTGAAGAAATGTCCCTGTTCTCAAATGGCGAAGCGGGATGCAGTCCCTGCGCCTCGGGTTTCAGGCACACTCTTCTGCGCACCCGGTCTGCCCCGGATGTGGGTGCCTGCTCCCTCTGTGGGCTCAGACTGCTGGTCGGAAGGGGCCTGGCGTGGAATAACTTCCCGGCTGGCCACTGGGTCCTCCAGAAGCCTTCTGCCCTTTTCAAGCAGTCTTAAGAAATTTCCTGTTTTATGGGGTGTTAGTGACTTTTTTTTCCTGGTCGCTAGGTGGCGCCAGAGATCTCTACTATTGTCCTTGGGGGGCTGTTTTTTGCCTCCCCCCACCCAGTGGGACAGGGAACAGAGCGGGAATGGTAGGGTACACCTCAACAGCTTTGGGGTGCTGTGTCTGCCTTGTGCCCCACCGTCGTGGAGAACCCACGCCCCGAATTTTCGTGCCCCGGGTCTCAGTTCAAAGCCCTCAGTTCCAGGACGCGGGCTGTAGCCCAGTTCAGTGGCGCGGGAATGGCGCCTTTTGCACCGCTCCCGTGCCTGGGCACCTGGTTCCTGCTTACTCAGGGAGGGACCTTCACCTCAGTGAGGACCTCCGCACGTCTCCCCGCAAGCCTAGGTCGTCTCCCCGCAAGCCTAGGTCGCAGGCCCGGGGACCTGGGCAGCCGCGATCCAGGTCTGCACTTGCTTTTCAAGTGCGCGCTGAGTGCGCAGCTTTCCGCGCAAGCTTACCGGCAGCCCGGGCTGTGTGCGCGTCTCTCGGGGTCTTTGTTCTTCTCTAATGGCGCCCGGAGCCGTTCGCTCACCGCCGCGGCGGATCCTGCAGGGTTCGCCTCAGCTCCTGTTCACGGGGTGTGGTGGCTGCAATAGTTCCTTTCCACTCACAGTCCCGCTTGCTGCGTCGTTTGTTCTTGTTGGCCGTTTTGGTTTGTTGTTTCCTCCTCTCTGCGGGTGGGAGAGTGCCGCCTCTGTGGGCGGGGGAGGGGAGCAGGGTTCTGTGCTTTCCTCCCTTCTGGTCCTCTTTTATGGCCAGTTTCTTCTTCGGGCAGTTTGCTGGAGTCACCCGTTTATCTTCCGTATCCCAGTTCTCACTGGGACCTGCCGCTTTTCCTCCCTATTAACTTTTTTTAATGGGAGATCTTACTCGCAGTGTCTCCTTGCCGCCATGTTGCTCCGCCCACCTCTAGTAAGCAAAATTTTAATTGAAGTCAGAAATAACCAAGTTTGTGTGTTTTTTCAAAAGCATCTTTAGGACTTGGCTATATATTTTTTTAAGTGCATCAGACTTGGTACATGAAATACTTTTAAATTTCTAAAAGTTTCATTTTTAGATTTCTTCCCCTTAGACCAAGAAAAAAGCAAAGCAAACAAAGTATGTTGCTATTTTAAATGCATATTCTAGAATGTATCATATTTCTTCCTTATGGCTCATCTCCATGGAGCAATTTACAAATCCCCTTAAATCCATGATGTCTTCTTCCTTTCATTCCCGTATCTTAGGGCTTAGACCTCTCACACAGCACTTCTCACACTCGGCATTATAGCTCCCCAAGTTCCTCCTTACCAGTCATGCCCTTCTGGCTCTGCCTTCTAGAGCTGGGGCTTTTAAACTGAGGACTGTGGCCTTCTTCAAAGTACACATAAAATTACTGTTTCTAAGTACAAATGCATTTTTTTGGAGAGAATCCATAATATTCTCAAATCCTCAAAAAAGGTCTGAGAATCAGAAAAAGTGAAGAACTCTATTATAGGAAAACAACTTGTGACTTACTTATCCTTGGATTCTGCATAGTGCTTTAGCATCTATCTTTCAATGTTTGTTGATTAAAAATTTTATTAATAAATCATAAAATAATGTTATATTATTTTAATGCATGTTTATAAAATATTTTTCCTCATTCCCCATTCCCTCATCTTAATATAAAGAAACTACTGTTTCTGAAAGGAGAATGGTGGCTTACCAATGGTGACTACAAGGAGCGGGAAATAGAATCAATATTTAATGAGTTTACAGTTTAAGTGTGGAAAGATAAGAAACTTCTAGAGATGGATGGTGACAATGGCTGCACAACAATGTGAATGTACCTAAAGCTACTGAACATCTACATATATTTTATCACAATAAAAAAGCACTACTTCTAGGGCCTCCCCAGTGCTGCAGCGGGTTGAGCGCAGCGCCGTGAAGCCGTCAGCAGCCTCTGCAGTGCGCATTCGATTCCAGGCCAGCCAGGGATATTCCCACACGGTGAGGCAAACCACTCCTGTGTTGCCCGCTGCTCCCCTCAGCAGTGTACTTCGGTCCTTCTGCCTGTTCTGCTCCCTGCTCTGTCTCTGGTGAATTCTCTCACCCTCCTGCGCCTCTGGCCTGTGCCCCAGTGCTTGTATAAAAAAAATTAAATCTTTAAAAAAAAATCACTACTAACATATTATATTCTCATATAATATTAATCACCTATTAGAGAGGTCACTCTTTGGCAAAGGAAAGGAATGAAGAAGTACACTGGTTAAATTTTGAACATAAGAAAGATATTCTCAAAGGAAAAGCAAATCATAGCCCCAATCTATACACTGTGGATGTAAGAGTATAAACACAAATTAAAATACAGTGATATAATCATAAATCTTATCCAAATAGAGGAGCTGTTTATCTGAGTAAACAAAGGTAAATTGCTCAGGGAAATCAGTTTATCTGTGTGAAGTAAATTAAACTTTTCAAGATATCAAGTCATAACTCAAATTAAAAAAAAGTTAATTTAGCTCAATTTCATCAATATAGTATTATATGAATAATATAAGCATTTTGAAAGCCTGCAATAGACATTTCCAGATGCCAGACCCACATTTTATTAAATAAGCATTAAGTATTTTAAAATTTAGAAACATAAAAGTCCCAAAACTACTTTAAAAGAGTGAATTATTTAACACACTGATTTCAAAAAGGATGCATCATTTTCCATGTCACTCACTTCACTCCCAGATCATATTTAACAACTTAGCTTGCCAAAGAAAAAACTCAAACACCTGTAAGGTTATAGGCATATTTAAACATCAAATTATTCACATTAATAAGGTAATATTGATAATTCTAAAGTACGTATATATTTTATCCAACACCTAGAGTCTAAAACAGTTTGATGATTAAAAATCAGTGTTATATCTTGGATATTTATTACAAGTAAATAACTTGCAAAGAAATTTAAATATTCTATTATTTCCCAAAAGTCCTTATATATGAAAGATTTATAACTATTTCTTCAGTGGAATTTAGGAAAATCCTTAGAAACAGATTTAACATGAAAGCAACTACTACCACTTAAATTTCATAACATATAAAAGATACACACTAGCATACTTGATCTAAGCTATATATATTTATTGCTCTCTTGACCAATTCAATCATCATATCATTACTTGTTCTCTAAAGCAATTTGATCAAATAAATAGAATATAAATTTTTACCACAATTGTATGTACCAAAAAGTCAAAATTAACCTAAAATTTACTTTTATTCAGTGTTTATTCAATAAATATTTAGTTACTGCAATCACATACCAGGTACTACACTGTAAGTGCTATTTTATAGAAATATACAATATTTATATAGTGAACATGATTGTGAACTAGTCATGATCTACTAAAGTAACAGTTAAGTGCTACTGTTTTTCTAGAACACAGATTTATATCACCATCTTTACAAAGTATCCTTATGTTTTTGTAAAAATACTCATTGTGTAATATTTTGAAAAATTCATTTGAATTTGATCTCTAACGGAAAATTTAAAGGTGATAATTTTAAGACAAAAAACTGTTAACCTATCATGTAATGTATTTTTCTCTGAATGGCAACAACATAACATCAAAAACAGCACAAATTAGTTTAAACTTCAAGATTTACCTGAAATGGGAATATTCTGTGAGACTGATAATTGCACATCTCCAGTTCCTGGTGGCATGTCAACAACTAAATAGTCCAGCTGACCCCAATCTACCTAAAAACCAAGATGACAAAGAAAACATCATTATATTCTCATATAATATTAATCACCTATTACAGAAGTCACTCTGTACAATAACTGCAGTGGACAATGACATATACAAAAATAGCTTTCACTAGAACAGTTTCCAGGTACCAGGGACTGTAGTGAGTTAAGGATACATGGACAAATATGTGCAGACCTTTAAATGATGAGGTTAAATTTCCTAGGACCTCCCTCTCCCTTAGCCATACCCCTCCCCCCAATACACACAGTAATGATGAACCCACTTCACAGTGACCTTATATTCAGGACCAATCATTTATTTTCACTAAGAACCACATTTTACCTAAGAAGGAAGGCCTTAGCTTCTTGTCTTTTGGGCTTTTTCCTATGGTAGATACTAATATAATTTTTTAAAGTTTATTGTTTTTCGCCATAAAAAAATAAAACACTAATAATGAAAACCAAAACTTAATAATAAAAATTTTGAAACAAAACTAGAATTTCAAAGCTATTAATATTTTTATTTTTTTCTTTCCAGGCATTTTTCGAGATATCTATACATAGAAATTCAGCTATCTGACTAGTAACTGAGCATCTGACTAGTAACTGAGCTCAGATTCAATTTAGATGGGTTTCGAGGTTACCTCAGGATTTTTTCTCCTCAGTTAGTTCCTCTGAATTCCCACTCATCTTAAATGACTCCACAATAGTCTGTTGCCTAAAGGCAGAAGCTTGTAATCAGACTTAACTCTTCCATTTCCCTCATTATTCTCAGTCACTTATTCTGCCTTCCAAAAATCTCCCAAATGCACCCACTTCTCTCCAACCCTACTGCCAAGAACCCACTCCAGGCCATGACTACTTAAACTAAAACCTTTGTGCTTTGGCACCACCCATCCAGTTTGTTCTCAACATCACTGACTCCATCTAAAACCACATCTGGTAGTGCCACTTTTTTGTTTCAAACCCTTCTACTACATTTAAGATAAAGTTTGAGCTTAAGTTCTGAAATATTCTGCCTGGTCTCCTTCACTTACTAATTCTTCTCTGCTCTTCAGATGCCAGTTTAAAATGTAATTCCTTGGACAAATCTCCCTTAATCTCTACTAAATTAGACAGGGTGTTCCTACTATATACTTCTCCTAACCATTCACCCAATCAAGTTTATTGATACCTACTATATATTAGGCACTGAGCTAAGAATTGATAATTAAATGGTATCATCCTTAGGCTCATAAAACTTAAAATACAGATATTAAGCACATAAATGAAATAACATGTGCAAGAAAACAGCCTAGTAAATGTGAAAAACTTAAAGATAACAGTGAGAGAGCAGGTAGTGAGAAGGGTGGATTTCATTTACTATTTGTTTCCCAATCTGTCTTCTTATGAAACTGCAACTGAGTTAGAATACCTAGTACAGGATGGACATACAGGAAATGCTAAGTAAGTTTTCTTTCAAGGATGAATAAATTAACACATTCAATGGTTTAATGTTTTTTTTTTAACCTAAATGTAAAAACATTCTGTGTATGCAATTCCATACTCTGCTTCTAAAATTTAATAATGTGAACAAGGCTTTTCCATATATTTTTTTTCTAAAAATTAAAGCTCAAATGATGTTAGGCCAAATAGATTCATCCACATATTAACATATTTATTCAACGTAAATTTACTGAGTATCAGGTACCAGGTACTGTTCCAGGGGATAGAACAGTGAATAAAACAAGTCCTAGCCATCAGGGAACTAACATTTTAGTGAGGGAGACAGGCAGGCAGACAGAAAAACAAAGAAACCAGAGAGTTATAAGTACTATGAAAAAAAACAAGTATTCCTAGCCATTTAAAATTATTTGTGGATCAAGAAGATGTGATATAAAAAAATGGAATACTACTCAGTGACCAAAAAAAAAAGATAACCTCATGCAACATGTATGGAGCCTGAAAGAATAATGCTAAGGGAAATAAGTCAGAAAGGGAAAGATAAATACCAGATGGTGTCATGTGAAATATAAAGTAACTAAATGAATAGTCAGATAAAGACAAGCTGAAAAACTAACACTTGATAACTGATTGCAGAACTGAGACAACAAGGGGGAAAGGGAAAGAATAGGGAGGGAGAGAGGCATGATGGTTTGTGGTGGTGGAGTATAGGTAAGTTGGTGGTGGGTGTTCTATGGTAGTAAATCCTGATGGGGATATCCCAATGTAACTCAGTAAAATACATAAATAAATTTATAAAAAATTATTTGGTTCCTGACTTGGTTTCCAGATCAAAGAGCAAGAACATGTTTAAAATCTTCTCAATTCCTAAATTTCAGAGAGCAAATAGCAAGAGTTCAGAGAGCAAAGGGTTTATGAAGGAATTTCTTTGAATTTGTTTAGCCCCAACATCAGGAGTGAAAAATACTTGAATAGTAGGGAGAAAGAATAGTGAAAGGTACTACTTTAGACAGATCCTGAGTGAAGTGAGAAAACAGCTGATGCGGTATTGCAAGCAGACATGAGTCAAGTGCAAAGGCCCTAAAAAGGGGATCTGCTTGGCATATTCAGTGAAGAGCGCGGAAATTAGCACAGCCTTTCTAAAACAGCTCCCTCATAAAGAACAATCTCTTTCCTTCCTAAATTATTCTTCAAAATACTTATAAACATCTGACATTAAATACTGACTGTCTTCTAGGAATTCTATTGTATTTCTCAAACATAAGTATTTAATACTGATTTAATGATCAAGAGAATGATAAATAATGAAAATAAATCCATTCACTTTCAATATAGGTTCCTTGGTTTGAAAAACAGTTACCTCAAAGTTACCAATGGCCACTATCTTTGAAAATATCTGCAAAAAAAGATAAAGGATACTTTTTATTTTATTTCCTCTGCACTGAAGCTCTTAACAGTGGCAGAATGACAAGTCTCTTTATTTTAGAGAACATCAAATGACTGCTACCAACAATTTATCATTGTTGTTCCTTGGCATTTCATCATATTTATCACACTGGCTTCAATTTCCCATTTTTTTATAGAGAACTGCTATTAAGGTTCCAAGGAACTAAAAATACTTCACTGTTAAGGCAATTAATTTCAAATTACTCAAATTGAATTTGAACTATCACACACAGTACACTGTCTACAAAAGCTTCCTGACTTGAACTGAACTGAAATCAGTGTCTGAATTCCAGTTTTATAGTACATACTAATTCTAACATTGAAATATACTGGCTGCCAGGAGGTTTCAAGTTCTCTTGTAAAAGAGCCACCAAAGCATTGATTGTAGAATGATTTGAAGATTTTCTAGATTGTATTTAATGTTTCTTTACTCACATAACTTATATGTTACTAAATGCAGGGAGGAAAGTACTAGCAAAACATCCCCCAAATCTCATATAGTAAAACACAATAGCAGATTCAGATTTTGTGTAATTTGAAAAATATACAGACATATTTTTGTATTCTTAGTAAGATTATGAACACAAAGTTAGGTATAAAAGCAAATATTTAGAATATGACAAGAAATCACCATAACAATCACCAGAGAGATTCAAGTTCCTTTCTCAGAGATCTCCTGAATCAAAGAAATGCTTACACAGAAATTCTTCTTGACTGCAACCTGCTTCATCTATGCACTTAGAACATTCCACAACTCCCAGAACTTCAGAGGCCCATATACGTGTGGAATCCTAATTTAAGCTTCATTAGCCTCATGGTAACCCCATCACCGGTATAGTCTTCCTAGCTCCTTCTCATGTTCCAGCTTCAAAGGATCCCAGCAAGTCAGACTTAATTAGTCTACAAGTGAAGTTACCAAGGTAGGCCTGAGATACCCTGTGGATAAAGAAGCAGAGCTGCAGGAGAGAACTCAGCAATGTAGTTAGGAAGTCAAACATGTGTATCAAATCTGAAAGGGGGGCATCAACAACATAATGAGAGAAACAAAAAGCCAAGTAAGCAAGATAGTTGAGAAGGATGGTATGAGGTACAGATTAGGGATAATAGTGCAGACCTGAGTCTGTCAAGAGAGGCTTTGCATAAGGCTCCTGTTCTCCATAGTAACACCGTGCTTCCCTCTCAAGTGTTTGAGATGCAGGACTTTTGGATCCCAGTATAAAACAGTCAGTTTTTGTCCAAAGCCATTCAAACAGCATCAAAACAGCTGTTTTTTTTTATCTATACAATACATATATACATGCACAAATATATACATATATTTGTAATTGTTACAACATAACAACTATGTTACTGGTATTTTTTTTTTAAAGATTTATTTATTTATGCATACAAGGGATCAGGCCAGAGGTGTGGGGGGGTGAGAGGATTCACCAGAGACAGAGCGGGGAACAGAACAGGCAGACTGACTGAAATACACTGCTGAGGAGAGCAGCGGGCAAGTCAGGAGAGGTCTGCGATGCCATGTGGGTGGCTCCCTGGCAGTGGCTGCGGATAGCTTCATAGGTGGTTGTGTCTGTTATAATCCCTTGCGCCACCAGGGAGGCCCTGTTACTGTTTTTTAAAAATTGCTTCTTTATTAAGACAGCCAACACTTGAAAGAAGATTAGGCCACTAAATCTCTTTTAACCTAATTCTTTCATTTTTGGCAACCTTATAAAAGAAAAACATTCCAAACTAGCACTGACTGATTTAATTTTAGGCTAATATAACTTCCCAAATAATATATTATATTTTATATTCAAACTAATACCCAATTATTTAAGTAACTCAAAGACTCAAATAAAGGTAATTACCTTATTTCTAAGGAATGACTTGAAGATAAAATTGTATCTTACATTTATGCAGATAAGGTAATTTATCTTTTTCAGGATATCAGTTATAAAGACTACGGTGCTATGAATGGAAAAGATGGGCTACTTTCTTTCAGGGACAGTTCTATTATGAAGCTGACCGACTCCTCTATAATCAGGTCTATTCCAGAGGATGTTGGGAGCACAAGTACAAGTAGGCTGAGTTCTAAATGCTGAATAAAAAAGATGCATAGATGTATTTCCAGTTTT